CACCTGACCTGATGATAGTTATGTGAGCGGAGCAGCAAGACAAGGCACAAAGTAGACACGACAAGGAACACAAAGCCTGAGACCAAACCCTACACAGCAGCACTCTTTCAGACAGGCCACCCTCTACCCAGCCGCTAAGCCCAAAACAATAGGCACCTCATTAATTTCTCGTGTAACACAGGATTGAAAATATGCATGTACTATCGAATAATAATTGTCATGTGTGTATCTATTGATAATGCAAAGTACCCTCTGGGTCATGGTATCCGACCCTCTCTTTTCTCTTTTCTGTACCCAACTGCCTTTTCGCTGACTCAATAAAAACTGTCAAACTGAAAAAAAAAAAAAGAAGATTAACTGCTCAATGCTCTGCCATTTAGCAGTTAAATCACTTTTGTTTCCATTTATGCAGCCCTAGCCACACCTCTACTGGCTGTGACACAGCCTGCATGAAACAAGATGGTTTCATTTTCAATCAGATGTTTCTTACTTTCAAAAGTTTCTATCCTGCTCTGTAAATTGAACTTTAATTACATATAGGAGGCTCCAACAGGGCAAGCTTGCTATTAACAGAGTAGGAGATAAGAAATTCTAAATTAAACAGCAATGTGCACTAAAGGTAGTGTAAACAGAGGACTCTTTACGGGAAGTGTTTAGGAAGGCTGTAAAAGTTGCATGCCGGGAGGTGTGCCTAGTGCTGCATCAACATAAAGTGATTTAACTCCTAAATGGTAGATCATTTAGCAATAAGACTGCAGGGGCATGATCTATACCCCAAAACTGCTTCATTAAGCAAACGTTAAACTTATAAATGTGCTAATTTCTTTTGAAATCTGTAAAAAAAAATTGTAACGTGGGGAAAATTAAAACTAAAGAGCTTTACAGTAAAGAGTGTTCTTTTAACAAAATTCATGATTTCAGGCTGGACATTCCTCTTGCAGTGTTCATGTACCAAATTAACTTTTGGTACATCTATTAACCATACTTTGCTTAAACCTGAATAACCATTATACTCAACATTTGCTTTTTGTATACTGACCAGTTACAGGCTTTATATAACTTATTTGTTGCTGGCAACTTGGTATCTAATCTCACAACAATGTCTGCAATGCAGTCATACAAAAGCAAGGGGCTCGGTTATCTGTGAATAATGGTTACCCAGCAGGCCAGGTTCTGTTGGGTCAATCACTGCATTCCCGTCTCCATTCCTCACTCTGCGCCTGCAACTAACACAATCTATATAGCCAAAAGATCTAGACAAATACAAACTGTTGTGGTCGCAAGTAATGTGGATGTCAGCAATGTCTATATTTCCGCAAGAAAGGACACACTGTTTTACAGCGGCTGTGATTAACATTTTTGAACATGAAATACAATGTGGAATTATATGGATTTAGTTTCCATTTAACATAACATTTTAATCAACATCAGCCAAGTGATAAAAAGTTGCAGAGCTTAGAATACTTTTTTTCTGTAATTAAGATTGAATAATTAAGTGTAATTACTTAATTATGTTGATATAGAAACATACCTGTTTGGGCTTCGTTGTAAGGTGTCCAGAAAGGCCCAGATCCAGTCACAGGTCGTTCGTTGTTCCCTCCACTAGCATGTCGGCTGTGTTTCCTCCAAGATTGCGGAGAGGTGGGAGGTGATTGCTGAGGGGATACTACAGGCGATGTGGAGTCCTGAAAAATCATTTTGACATAGACTACCATTAATGATAAATTAAGGTAACAGTAAATTGACTTACATGATTTTCATATGTTACTATTTATTGATATATACTTATACTAAAGTAAAAATTCAAAGTGAATGAAAAAATTCAGGGCCAAAATGGTTGAACTAGAAAAAGACACACCCAAGACACTGCGATTTTTATTTCACAAGCATCATACTTATTTTTACTGTTCAATTAAGTGACAAAATACAGATTCATTACCTGTTCTGCTGGAGCACGGGTTTGTATAACATCATGACTAACGGAGCCTTTTTTAACTTGAACTCTTCCTGGTGGAGGAGGAATTACACCTGAGTAAGAAGCAGGGTTGTCTCCCTCTGAACCATGAGAGGTTGTCTGTCTTGAATCCTGCTCATTCTTTGGCACAATAAATCTTGGTAGCGGGAGGTCCTTTACTAAATAAATAATTTCAGCAAAATAGCCTGAATTAATAAAATATCCAGTATAAAAAACAATAAGGATAATAAAATACCCAGTTATAGAGACATATTCATGAGAAGGTATGTACAAAAACTTTAAATTGGTTGTATTCTAAATAACATTCCATCATAAAAAAAAAGGGGAATAAAATCATATTTACACTATACAGTTAAAACAAGCGCGAGTTGTCACAGGCACCACCGTGCCAACATTGGCTTAATTTACAGAATTCTATATTTCCATCATAATCCAATTAGAACTCCTAGCTCAAATTACAACACTGCTGTCTTCTTCCAAATTCTGCTCTCTGACTATTTTATGTAAAGAAGGGGCTTAAACAACATCCTTTTCTGCTAGAAAAAAGTAAATGCGCCTTTTAATAAATTTTTGTTAACTCAATATTGCATTACATTTTAGAAAACATTACCCTGACCAATGCTGTGAGTTTAAAGGGACACAAAACCACTTTACCATTTTTTTCCTCAGGCAATGTAAAACACTGCAGTTTCTGAGAAACAGTAATGTTTCTATTTCTACAAAACCACGCTTCAGATTGATGGCCACTAGAAACACTTCCTCACAAAATCTTATCTTTTTTTATGGTTTCACATACGGGTTCATTATGTCTTGTTGACACCGACCACCATTAAAAATGCTTCACAATAATCATAAAAAATGTATCCCAAAGTTTAATTTTTAATACATAATTACAATTTCATGACTTTGTTGCTTAAAATTAAGATTTAAAGTGTACATGACATGGTGCACAAAAAAACAAACTTTAAAAAAAAAGACAAAAAAAAAAGTATACTAAAATTCTATTAATACATTTTGTCAACTGAATTGCGATCAAATGTAAAGATAAGAATATAGATAATTTTCTGCCTGTAAATTACTTATCAGGGATCAAGCCCTCAGGGGCAAAGAAGGTTTCTTAAAAGTCTAGGTCAGGGACGACCAAAGGTTGATGCCCTGCTGTTGTAGAGCTACATCTCCCATGAAGTTTTGGAAAGCTAAACGCGTCTGTCACCTTCCTGGGTCTTCATGTATTTTGCAAAGATGAAGGTGCTACAGAGGTGAATTATATTTACCTGATGCTGTTCCACATAGACACCAATATCTTCACACTTCAGCTCCTGGTGCTTCATCTGAGAGGAGACCACATCACTGCAATACTCACAGATGCATGAGAGTACAACAGAGATGTCTATGGGAAATCCAGAGAGATCATGGGAACCTCCATAGATATTGTCAAGCAATGAATGAGACAATGCATTATTTTGATTAAACTTGACAGAGGTAGCTCCACCTTTGTCAAGTTAGGCATTTACCATAAAATACAGTAGTCCCTACTTTGGCTTTTGATATCTTTTCAATAAGTCTTTCTAAGAATTTCATAAAGATCTTATCTTTAAGATATGTCAACACACCCCAAAAGAGAACAAACAATATTGAGGTGGGGGTGAGAGACGATTTAAGCATGGAAAAGAAGAACGTAAGGTATTGTTTCAAAACACCTGGGAGATCATCAGTGGAGATCATCTCATAGAAAAGCATTGGGACACAGGTTGCATGCAATACTTTTCTACGAGAAGACCTCACATCAGCTCTGTGCCATAACAACACAGTGAGGAAGAGAAAAGTACAAGTGAGACACTTGATATTGAATTCTCTTAAATTTGGCACTTTCATTAACAAAAAAACGCAGTTAGCCCCTAAAGCTTACGCTAGTGGAGCACCTTTCCGAGGCTTCCTGATTTAAGTCTCTGACAGATTTTGGTGGGCAGAGCGACTGGGCACCAGATTCAACACTTTGAGTTTAAACCATTCGATAACGATTTAAACCCTTGCAGTAAGCTGGCTCCCAGGGACCTCCTTACATCCTTTAAGCATATCTCACTTCATCTTTTTTGGGGGCTAAAATTTATAAGATGACCAATTAAGAATTGTGCCCCAGATCATTGGAGCAAAAAAGGCACAATTTACTGTTTTGTTTTTTTTGTCTGTCACACATTAAAATAAATAAAAACCTCTAAAAAGTTAAAATATGTTAACCTGGCTATAGCGTTGTAAGTGGCAGTAGAAAGGTCGAATGAATGACAGTAGGTACCTACCAGTATTTAAACTTTCAACTCGCAATGGCAGACCAGACTGTGCTACAGCAACAAGTTTTAATGCAATGTAGAATTGGCTTCTTCCAAAATAGCCAAGTCTTGTCGCACCACAAAGTTCCATTATCTGTAAAACACAGGATATAGGTCTTGCTGAATTTTCTTTCACCACACATTCGTTTGGCAATACAAAAGCATTTAGTATAAAACAGCGATAACCACAGTAGCAGTTTTGATTTAGTTCTGTGGAAGAAAGTATGCATGAATTTGTAAACCAAACCAAAAAAATGGAAAAGTAAAAATACCCCACATTACACAGACACACTCAGGAGAATTTGGAATTTAATTACACAAAAATAGCCTTGGTGAGAGCTTATTACAGATCAGAAGTTCTGCACTGTCACATATCTGAACTGAACTGAGTGTAGTCACTTTCAGGTGACTCTGCATATATTGCATTGACCCTGAAGGTTACATTCCCACTATGGGGAATATGCAGCTAAGGTGGTTTATACTTATTTGAAGCTAATTTAGTTCCTGGCATTTCACCTGCCAGGAGACACATTACTGCGGTACTCTTTCATATGCTTAAGAAAACAGAGGTCTAAGGAGGATCCTCCACAAAGCAAATTAAGCAATGCGTAAGAAAACATTAGCAACAGCTATGGCAACTGACATACCTTATTGAAGGCATACTTCCCAAGATTGAGAGATATGAAATCAGGATGGGTGGACAGATGGGTGGCTGAGGAAGTGCATCACTCATGACATGACTCACACCACTGATGACACCAATAAAGGGCTGGCCCACCTGTGAAAATAGGCAGTCCAACTCAAGGGGCCCATCTGGCTAGTCGCCCTCCACCTACAGAACCTTGCAGAGAGCGCTCCTGAAGCACACTCTGCAGGGTCCTAGTGTCCATGCATAGCACTCACAATGTGCTGCCCTAAAACAATTTCTTGATTTTCCTGGATACAGGGCACCAAGGAACAAACTTGGAACGGTGGGAGAGGACCTCCAAAATAGATTTATTTATTTTTTTCATGCTTTGCTAATTTAAGCTTATAATTCTTGCTTAAACCTTTTGACTGCTTTGTAATTTCAATGAAACTTCACAGCAGTCAATAAGAAAATACTATAAAATATCTTGATGAAGTACACAGAAATGTTATTGTGGTAAGAGGGTGGTACTATTTAAAAAATGCTTGTCTGACAAAGGATACCTTTAATATATAATTTTTTTATACAACTATGTCTCACCTAATTGTCCACAAACCGTAATTTGATTAAAAACACACTGAAATCAAGAGAAGAAGAAAGGAAACCATGGGTTATTACACAGAGGATGCCACTAACTGATCTGTAAGGCTACCTCCAAGGGGACCAAAAAACAAAATCCCAAAAGTTACTCTTATTGTGGGAATATGCGGTCTTTAACATAACTGTTCCCTTTTCCCGTTAGATTACTGCAAAGAGTCTCATCGCAGCAGTTCATCCCCCAAAATAGCACTCACTAAAGACTTTGCTTAAAATTCTCTTTGCGAATATCAGAACTTGTATTAGCAGTGAGAACCCATTAGGGTTAGATTTAGGATTGGGTTTAGGATATTTAGAATTAGGTTTTAGATGAGAATTAGAGCCAGCAAGGGAGTCCCTCTGCTGACATCAGCAGAGGGAATCTTCAAACACTATAGCTAGGGATAGGATTACGATGAAGGTTATGCATAGGATTAGGGTGAGGTTTATTATTAGGGTGGTCAAAATTCTAGCTGCAAAAACTGAAATAGTTATGCCTCATATATTAAAAAGGAGAAAGGGCAAAGATAGCGCCAGTTATATATTGTACTGCTACAGATATATAAAAATTGGATAAAAGTAGGAACTATATAAAAATCATATAAAATAAATGCAGGATACCAGAAATAAGTAAAAAGATAAAAATAAAATATAAAAAACTCTGACCGCCTTTAACACTTGTTTTTGATTTTTAGAGTTCACTACCCACTAGGACCACCAGAGATTGCAGGAAATATACCCCCTCTCTGAATAAAAGTAAGACGGGAGGGGGGATAAAAAGTATAAGCATTATTTTTAATTTAAAAAACAGGTTTGCTTTAAGCTACCCACACAATTCTCACACAGTGCCCTCCCCCACACAAACACACATTTTTGCCCAAATTCTCTACTACAGGCCCTATCCAGACAGACCCCAGGTAAGTTGTCAAACTGTTCTTAAACGGTTTGAATACTTACTATGGGAGGGTGCAACAGCACTCTTGGAACCATAACCACTAAAGAAAGCAGTAATGGTTATTGTGTCTGGATTGTCCCTGTAAATCTCCAAGTGCCCCTCCCGAGACTCGGTTCTGGATCTGCCACTGAACAAGGGCCAAATAAATAGTGATGGCAAGATTACCAAAAAGGCAAGTCTTAAATGGTGTTCTTGGTATGCAGTGGCTAGTACTTACATACGTGGTGCAAAAAAGGACAATGGGTGACCAAGCATTCAGGTCAAGCTCCTTGATGCATGTGGGGAGCAAAAGCTAGCCAGTCTGGTCCAACCACACAGAGGAGCTACACTCCATGCACGCCATCAGCTGGCAGGGACCCCTAAAGCGCAGGCGCGGCAATGGCCCTGCGCGCATTAGACCTCCCCATAGTAAAGCATTATTCAATGCTTTCCAATGGGAAAATCTGACGCTGAAGGTCCGTGAGCACGTCCAGCGTCAGATAACGGACAAAAAGTCCATTTGGATTCCTCTAGTGGCAGCCACAGTGGGCAGACAGAGCTGCAATGTAAACATAGCAGTTCTCTGGAACTGCGATGTTTTAAATTGCAGCACTAAGTGCAAAAGTGTGACAGCACCCAGACTACTTATAGAAACATAGAATGTGACGGCAGATAAGAACCATTCAGCCAATCTAGTCTGCCCAATTTTATAAATATTTTCATTAGTCCCTGGCCTTATCTTATAGTTAGGATAGCCTTATGCCTATCCCACGCATGCTTAAACTCCTTTACTGTGTTAACCTCTACCACTTCAGCTGGAAGGCTATTCCATGCATCCACTACCCTCTCAGTAAAGTAATACTTCCTGATTATTTTTAAACCTTTGTCCCTCTAATTTAAGACTATGTCCTCTTGTTGTGGTAGTTTTTCTTCTTTTAAATATAGTCTCCTCCTTTACTGTGTTGATTCCCTTTATATATTTAAATGTTTCTATCATATCCCCCCTGTCTCGTCTTTCCTCCAAGCTATACATGTTAAGATCCTCTAACCTTTCCTGGTAAGTTTTATCCCGCAATCCATGAACCAGTTTAGGTACCCCACTGGTGACAAGTCCAAGCTTCGAATATATTCCATTAACTACAACCCTCTGTTGCCTGTCACTCAGCCACTGCCTTACCCATTCAACAATATTGGAATCCAAACAAAGATTGCAGTTTATTGATAAGCCTTCTGTGTGCAACAGTGTCAAAAGCCTTACTGAAATCTAGGTAAGCAATGTCTACTGCACCACCCTGATCTATAATTTTAGTTACCCAATCAAAAAAATCAATAAGATTAGTTTGGCATGATCTCCCTGAAGTAAACCCATGTTGTCTCTGATCTTGAAATCCATGTGTTTTTAGATGTTCAACAATCCTATTCTTTAACATGGTTTCCATCACTTTCCCCACTACTGAAGTAAGGCTTACTGGCCTATAGTTGCCCGACTCCTCCCTATTACCTTTCTTGTAAATGGGCACAACAGTCGCTAACTTCAATCTTCTGGCACTACTCCTGTTAAGGCAATTAGCTGAAGTGGTCTGGGTGCCTACAGTGTCCCTTTAATGCTGGCCATGGTAGAACGGTGACAGAAAAGTGTCAAAAACAATTAAAGGACCACTATAGTGCCAGGAAAACACTCGTTTTCCTGGCACTATAGGGTCTTTAGGGCCCCCTCCCGCCGGGCTCTACGGGGTGAAAGGGGTTAAATCTTACCTGTTTTCCCCCACCGGGCTTCCTTGGCGCGGGGAACTCTCCTCCTTTTCGCCGTCATCGGTTGAATGCGCATGCGTGGCAAGAGCCGCACGCGCATTCAGCCAGTCCATAAGAAAGCATTCAGAAAATCACAGTGAGAAGCGCCTCTAGCGGCTGTCAATGAGACATCCACTAGAGGCTGGATTAAACCATAGATAAACATAGCAGTTTCTTTGAAACTGCTATGTTTACAGCAAAAAGGGTTAAACCTAGATGGACCTGGCACCCAGACCACTTCATTAACCTGAAGTGGTCTGGGTGCCTATAGTGGTTCTTTAAATAGGGTGTAATATCTACTTTATATAAACATATACTTTTGTGCTGTGATGAAGTCTAATCATTACAAGACAAACATACCAAATTCTAAAATATTTCCACAGTAAAGTTAAGTGCCTACAGCACAGTATAATATGGCAGAATATATAGTAGAGAACTACGTAAAGCCCATTGGAACCTAGGTTATAGTACATAATATGTTCCCAAAGGTTGATACAAATGTATCGCTGTCCTCAAGTGAAGTATCAAGAGCACAGACTCTATGCACAAGGGTGCTGTATAGAGATATATAGAAAGTGTGTAAAATGCTATGTCCAGGGTCTATATACAAAGTACTAGTAAGAAAGCCAATATGTAGTAATTGCAAATAGATCAGAACAGCTATCTGGGTTACAGCGCAGAACCAATAAAAAATACCAGGCTACGATAAAGCCAGTAGAGACTAGAATATAACTATATCTCCCACAAAATCTCAGAGAGAAAGATGTAACACAAAATCTCCGTTACTAATGCCCAAAAGTCTGGGATATACTGGTGTGAAAAAAGGGGGGAGTGTCTGGCTAACTGCAAGATGTAGCTATAATAGGCAGACAATGTAGCTATATTCGAGAGAGCCACCCCCCAAAAATAAAATGGACAAATAGTTTCCGTATATTGTCAGAGTGCCAGAAGGATAGAGATTGATCCATGCCTTAGATGGCACCTATCTGAATCTACAGACTAGCTAACTGACTATTCTTGATGTTTGGTCAGAATAGCGGGTAATCACACTACTATATGGTGTATATAATGGTGAGAGCACTCAATACATATAGTATCAAAAGTTTACCAGTACTGTCTTGTATCTAAAATAACAAGACATAAAAGAACCATAGGGTAATATTGTAATAAATATATGCAAAGCCCATATGTGACTGGTTAAACTCACATGTTACTGAGTCACTTAAAGAAGCTGACTCAGACAATAAACTTGTAGCGGAGATAAACCTTTTAGAGCAGGACGTTCTGTGATGGTCTGGATGAATCCTCCCTGTATGTAGTCTGTACAATTAGTCCAGGATACAGGATCAAATTAACACTTGTTTATTGATAAAGATAAAAAAATAAAAAACAATAACAGAAAAATGTCCATAAAATTTGCCATGACGCGTTTCGGCGGTAAAGCCTTCTTCAAGGCTCCCTAAAAATAGCAACATTTTACTTTTATTCAAGCCTGAAGCTGTAGCTCTGCATGCCGTTTGCCTCAGAATAATCAATAGTCAAAACATGTCTGCTGACATCATCAGAAGTGGTGGCCTGATCCAATCACAATGCTTCCCCATAGGATTGGCTGAGACTGAAAAGGAGGCAGATCAGGGGCAGAGCCAGCACAATTCAAGCACAGCCCTGGCCAATCAGCATCTCCTCACAGAGATGAATTGCATCATTTTCTCTGAAAATACAGTGTTTACAGCAAAAGGCCTGAAGGTAATGATTCTACTCACCAGAACAAATTCAATAAGCTGTAGTTGTTCTGGTGACTATAGTGTCCCTTTAAACAACTGTATCTCTGTAAATTGAACTTTAATCACATACAGGAGGCTCTTGCAGGGTCTAGCAAGCTATTAACATAGCAGGGGATAATAAAATCTAAATTAAACAGAACTTGCAATAAAGGAAGGATAAACCGTAGAGAACTC